AATGTTAATCACAATCCAAGAATTCTCAGACTGGTAATGATTTAACAACCCCAAGTTTTGTTGGAATTTTTAAATCAATTGTATATTTGTCAAGTCTTTAATAATGGATTGTGTGACTTCTTCATTTTCCATTGCTGTAATTATATTATATCTTTAACAGCCTATTAAACAAAAGTACTAAGTTTATTGACAATTACTCCATCTTTTTTCAATGTTTGCTGATCTGGTACTTTTAAATGTACAGTTAGAACTCGATATAACAAACCTTCTGTTCAAGGCTTCAAGCTATTTTGGATCATTATATTGAATATTCGATAAATCAAATATTTTTATTATATTGATTTATATATTAAAAGTATAAAAATTGGTATATCTAAAAAAGATATATCAATATAAAATCAAATTTATCACTTTAAAATGTGTTTATAATATCAATAGTTCAATACAATGTTATCATACAAAAACTTGTAAATAGATGTGAGACTTGGAGATATTAGGTGCTGATGTGTTGAATAGTGCTGGCCGAGACTAAGTTAATTCCGGCTGGAATTAGGATGGTATCAGTTTATCGTGAATAAATAAGTATGACTGATTTATGATTAACTTCGTTAGTATACTGGAATAATTGTGCATCTGTCACAAAGTTATCTATATCATATGGTTCATTTGTACTATTTTAAATGTTCAGTTAGTTTGATAATATAAAAGTAGTTAGCACATTATATTTAATATATTGTCAATACGTATTTTTTATTTAATGAAATAAATTCTTTTGCTAATTGGATAAGATTCGTATGAAGTTTATATTGGTAATTAATCAAAACAACCATACTATAATTAAATTAATAATATGTTTAATTTGTATTTGTAATCTATAATAGTATAAATTAACATTTTGAATTAACGGCTATAAATAGTTTATCAGAAGCTTATTATTGAACTACCGAAAAAAAATTTTCGCGTTTTTTTAACAGTTATAAATAGTTTATCAGAAGTTTATTGAAAAAAAAATTTCATGTTTTTTTTTAAGAATTAATAGCTATAAATAGTTTATCAGAAGTTTATTGTTTGGAATTTCTGAAAAAAAAATTTTCTCACTTTTTTTTAAAAATAAGACGTTTAAAGACCAACTGTCCATGTGCAATAATACCAAAATTACATGTTAAAGCTAAAAAATTACAATATGAAGGATCTTTTATAAATGATACGAAAAATGTTATTCCTTTCAAAGATATACAGACAATGATATAGAAAATTCAGCCATTTCTCCAGATAATGTGGATACTAATAATATATCTGAAAAAGAATTACTGTAGCTTATGAGAAGCCAGCTGATGAAGAGTCAGGTTCAACTGGCAAAAAATCACCAGAAAAAGCAAACGAAGTTAGTATATATGTATATATTAATTCTGAAATTGCAGTACTGTAAACATTATAAACGATTTGTAAATATACAATAAGGAGTTACTAATATATAACTTTACTATAAACTATTTCAAGGAATCTGATTATATGAATATTGATGACTCGTACAGGTCATTACTTGACGTTATGGAAGAAGTTCCAGTGAATACTAGAAATGTATTGAAAGAAGAATCTTCTGATTTTAAAGGTTTTGATGGTGAATACAGCCCATACTTTCCAAATTTTATCTGCAATGGTTTTAATGGTTTTTATCTGGATCACAAAATATATCATTGCTTTCTGCTGTGTGTGACCAACTAATTTTATATAGCAACATCTGCGTATTAGGCTAACCAAAATTATATTTTAACCAGATTTTATTATAATCCAGTATAGGTTTTATTTTCTTATTATATTACTCATCTACTGAAGAAAAAAATTGCGTTCTAATTATGACTAAAGGTGAGAATTAAATTGTGTATCCTCAATTTACTGATAGTTCTCATTAATTCATTAATTTCTATACAGTAGTTATGAAAGAAATCCATTAAGTCATGTTCAGATTTTATTAGAGGAAGTTTACCTTTGGAAAATTAAATCAGAGGAAACCAACAGAAAAATATTTCTATTATATTTTTGACACGTAATTATGCATTCTATAGTACTATATGGTATATAATATGACATTATTTTTTTTGTTAGTAACACGCATTTCTTTATTAAATTTATATGGTGATGGTACAAGAAATTTTAGGACAAGAAATAGATAGAGGCAGTCTCTATTTACTAACTCCATAGCAAAGATATATCACGTGATGAATTAATTTTGTGCTGAAAATTTGTTGCGTCACGTCCGAAAAATTCCACGAATTCATTGCTGAAGCAATACTACAAAAAGGCTAACATATAAAACTACTCTTGATAAGTCTAAACTATAACTGAACTAACATCTACCTTTACGACCATAATATGTACCTTTACCTTTACTTCTACCTTTACCTTTCTCTCGAGAAACTATCCATCCTTTACCTTTGTTATCTTAGTTTAGTGTCTTCTACAGTTCTACTATCCTCTTATTCTCCAATTATACGCTTCTCAAACTTTTCAATATAATCTGTATCAGTTTTCGTTTTTGTTGTAGGTCAAGTAACCTTGTTAAGCAACGCTATGATATTTCTCAAGTTCTATTGGAGTGACTGTTCTTGTATTGGTAATATTTTCCTTAAGTTGGCTCACTTCAAGTTCATTTCCGCAAGATATTCTTCCATCTCTTTTCTTTGTTCTTCTATTTTCAATAGAGATTTATTTTTTATGTCTTCCTTTTCATTACTATTTCTAAGTTGACCAATTTCTAGGACTACCTGTTCCGGTGAAGTATAATCGTTTATTGAAGTTAATTGGATTTGTGGTGGATCTTAGTCCAGTAAATTCTTCCTGAAGTTATTTACCGTCAGTATCAACGACCTTATCTATTGTTGGTGTTGATATTGCTGACGGCAACTTATTATCTAGCTCAGCATGGGCAGTGGATTATATACTATGACATTATATTATCGACATATTACTATTAGTCACTGTTATTATATTTCGGCATGTAATTATTATATTATTTACATAATTTTGCGATATTATTTAGATATAATAGACATATAAATGTTATAAAAGGAGTAATAGTATATTTTAATATATGGTCGTCATATAAAATTAATTTTCTAAATATACTTCCAATACATGTTTGATATATGGTTGATATATTGTATAAAATTGAATTTCATAATTACATTTCTAATATGTGCTTGATATATGATTTTCATATAATATATATAAGTCCGGAACATATTTTTTATATATGATTGTCAAATTTTCGTGTAATATTTTCTACATATTGTAAGCATATAGTTAGAACGAAAATAACAGAAATAATAAAATAATATGACTACATATTTAGGATAATTGAAAGTTTCTGTAAAGTGTTTCATTCCTGGCGAGATATTTTCGAAGTAACAATATCTAATGCTAATAACAATCGATTTTCTTCTCTCGCGGAGGCATCAGAACCTGTCGTCTAGATCATAGATTCAACCAAGTTGGTTTTATATAACAGATAAGGTCGGGTTCATATCTGATAGCATCGTAATCCACAACTTAACAACTTTTCCTATACAACCCACTTAAATTTTTCGGCGACAATGTTATTGTGTATCCTCCTACTGAAACAGTGCCAGAGGTACTAAGCAAGGATAATTAGTATTTTTTATTCGCGAACTATTCGTAATTTTTGTGTATTATTGCCCGAAGTAAGCGTAAAACTTGATAAGTCACGTGTATAAAGATGCAACTCTGTACTACATATTAATTTTGATACAAAAAATCTTGCGATTCTGCCATTGCTGGAAGGAAATAGAACATTGGGTCCCACAAGCACTGGAAAGTACAATGATGTAATATTTGAATCTGAAACGCAACACATTAGATCAAATAATAAATGTAAAGATAGTGCTTTTAGTGTCTCTAAAAACGATCAAACGTAATCATCCAAAGCAATCTTTAATACTCTTCCAATCGAACGAATATCTAAGTCCTGATGATCTGATCAGCCTGTTAATCCTTATCGCAACTTTTACATGCCTCTGAAAACGAAGATGTATGTACTCGTTTAATTATAGTAGATACTTACAAATCTATTTTAATATTTTAGATTTGGAAGAAATCTAGAGAACGTTATTTCCTTCCAACTCCTGAAGGACTTAAACGAATAGTTATATGTTTATTTTCTTTTTGGGGATGAATGTCAATTTTGTAAAAAAAGATCGAAGCGAGTTAAGCTATGAGTGTATCAAAATGAGGACAACCAGTGAAACTAATTTACAATTAGTGGAATATCAATGAAACATTTCGAGCGGCTTTTTGAAAAAAGAAATCGTAGCTATATAAAAAAATATATTTCATTGAGACTTATTAAAAAGGTGGTGCGAGGTAATCAGGATAGAAAATGGGAAAAGTATGGAGACAGCTCAAACTTATCCAAGAAAATATGAATAACTATCATAATATACTTAAATTAGAGAGAAAATCCTCACGTAAGAAAATAATAATTATTTCAATAACATTTTTCATAGATTAGCATGATAGAATATGCTTAAATATGAATAAAGTTACTATGTATTGCGTATTTGCGTATCATATGGCAAATGTATACAATAAAACATAAACATGAAAATATATTTTATTTAATGAGAAATTATTAATCAATAAAGGTAGCATTACAAAACAAACTGTGCTGATTTTTCAGTATCATTAGATTGGATGGCGTCTTGTTTGATTGTAGTATTCATATTGTGATGATTAATTAACGACGAACATTTAATCAAAGGATAAAAAAAAATACTTTCTTACGAGATCACAAAGCAAGATAACAACAAGAAGCCTTATTTACAGATGAATTAAAGCATGGAATTATTTGTATTATTTTCGCGTGATATTGTAAGATAATAAATTATTGATATCTATTGCGCAAGAGAAGCATAAGCAAGCACGTTCCTAACTACATCCCTACATGTTTATAATAGTTCGTAAGCATGCTCGACATAAACCGGCTAATGACGCGGATCCCAAATTTCTAAAGCATTAAAAAGCTTAGTTAATGAAGTGACAAGATTTTTCTGTTCTTCTGGAAATGAATCTCTCAGCAATTGTTCTTTTGCATCTTTTATAGTTTGATCTGGACTTTTGTGGAATTTTTTATTGCTAAGTTGTTTTGTTTCAAACAATAACTTAAAGTCTTTAAATGACATTCCAACCTTTTCTAAAATTTCCTCTAATTTTTTGACACAAGAACATTGAGTGATATCTGTCTGATAAGTTCTGGCATCATCCATAGCTTCTTTAATTTCGTTAAATACATCTTCCCCTAGCTTCATTTTTAACTTCCGATTGAAGATTCCAATCCAATCCCTGTGTACACTTAATAATTTTGTCATTGCCTTGGTATCTTTTAACTCGTCCTGAGTCTTTTTCAACTCAGTCTTCATTTCACTTAGTTCATTACCAAGTCTTTCTTTTGTTTCATTAAGTATATTAGTTGTATTATTCAGATAAAGCTCAAGTCTATTTTTTGTTTCTTTTGAATCAGCTTTTGTTTCTTTTAAATCAGCTTTTGTTTCTTTTAAATCAGCTTTTGTTTCTTTTAACTCAAGCTCCGTTTTATCAAGTTTATCTTTTGTTTCTTTTAAATCAGCTTTTGTTTCTTTTAAATCAGCTTTTGTTTCTTTTAAATCAAGCTCCGTTTTATCAAGTTTATCTTTTGTTTCTTTTAAATCAGCTTTTGTTTCTTTTAAATCAAGATCCGTTTTATCAAGTCTACTTTGTGTTTTATCAAGCTGATCAATCGATAATCCCATGAGAAGCATAGATTCATGTGAAATCTCCATATGACCTTCTGCTAATCGATGCAAGTTTCTTGAAGTACGATTCAAATTTTCAAAGCTCTCAACATTTTCAAATTGTGATATAAGTTTGTCATACATCACTTTCTCATCTTTATAATTTTTGCAGTTAGAGAGATGTCTTTCCTCTAAATTTGAAAATGTCATTTTTATTTCTGCCATGGTATACGTTTATATCGTTTATAGTAAAGGAAAATGTTCAATTTATAAGGCGTAATGGCGTATTTAAAGACATTTTCATCCCACGTGATCATATCGTCATATTGTCGATTCCTGACTCATATTATTAATAAAAGCAATATTATGACTATTATGACGTAATAATGTTTATTTCAGGTTGTTTCACATTGTTAGTCCGAAGTGTAACGAAGTGTAACAAGGACTATATAATTATACGCAATTAGTCATACAATGTCCGTTTGTCCGTACGGTAAAAGTGTCATTCTTGATATGTCAATAATAAGAGCAAAAATATGTCTAACTTGTCGGATCTGTTGTTTTGTGACTAACATATTGTCTTCTTAACTCAGTAATGCTTCCTTTGTTCACACCCTCATCTATAATGAAAAACCAATCATAGGCACTTCCAGTAGCCCGTGTGATATCCTTAAAACAAGCATCTGATTTGTCCATATTACACAATTCAAATTATTTATATACGGTAGTCTAAACATGACCAATTTTTTTTAGTTATATGGATTCTTAACTAGAGAGGTGTAAATCAAGAATTCACCACCATCACCAACATCACCACCACATAACTGCTATTTTATCATCATATTGTCTCTATTAGCATTATTTTATGCTGTTAAAAAATTATTATTTTACTATTATTAAATAAAATTAAAATTTATTTATTATTTTTTTATTTTTTTTTAATTATAAACTATTTGGGTAAATGTACTGTATATCATTATTTAATAGACGTTAGATTGGAAAGGGGTTATTGGCTATTCTTTCAAGTCATTCATGCTTCGGGAACAGTTATAAGAGCACTTCTTTCAAGTGCTGACATTTCAAGATTATTCCAGCTGAAACAGCTACTTTCATAAAATTCTTATTTTGTATATTTTCACGTTCAAAACTTTTACTTTTAAAGCATTAAAATTAAAATCATATTTAACCATGGTTCTAGATAAGTTTTTGTCCATCGAGAGATTACAATAATGAATTATAATGTGATATTGAGAACCTATTTACATCAATATTGTAATCAAATTTACAGCAAATTGAGTTTATTCCACTTTAATTAACTTCTAACTTTTACAACCCTACAATCAGAAAGCTTCACAAGGCAATTTTTGAAAACACTACTAAAGATTAGTTGGCCGTTAGAGTGGTACAATGCATTAAAAAAGGAAAAGTCAATTTCGAGATAATGGAAAAATATATTATGTAAGCATGACTAAATGATGATTGGCGGAAACCTGGCGAGAACAAATTTTATTGTTAACGTTAACGTTAACATTAAAATTTCGTTCGTTCTGTTCATTTCTTAATACTGAATTTAAAACCAAGGCCCACCCATCACATTATGTCTTTTTATAACCTTTTTTATTTTTTTAAAAAAAAAATCAAAAATTAGATCATAGAATTACGTTATAAAAAAATTTGATCGGTAAAACTTACATTGTAAATGCTGTTCATATTAACGGTAAAACAAAAAAAATTAGATTATGTAAAAATTAATGATAATTCTCTTGTAAAAATTAAATAATTTATTAAATTTATTAATTAAAAATGTAATATTTTTTTTGGAATATGTGAAGTGTAATTTTAGCTAATTGTTATATAAGAAAATTAAATAAAGTTGATTTACTATTTAAAGATAAAAAATTAATTTTTTTTAAATTCATTACAGCAATATCCAAAATAAATGGGACACTTGAAAATTTTGTTGAGAACTTGTCGGGTGTCGGGTTGTCGGGTCCAATCATTTTACAGAATAATCACGTGATATCGTCTGCTTTATGAAATTGATTGGATGGCCAGAAACCCGGCAAGCCGACAACCTGGCAGATTCTCAACAACAAAATTTAAGTGTCCCGTTTATTTTGGATATTGCTGTAATAATTTTTTTCTTGATTCTTTTCTAAAAAACTTCAGGTTTGGCATGATTCTATGATGATGTCACTTTTTTTTTTATTTATATATTTTTTTTCTTAGTAAAATTAGTAAACAAGTTTATTTAATAAAAATTAATAATTATGTATATTGATTTGTGATTTGTATAAATAATTTTTGTTTGACTATTAATTATTAGACAAAAGTTTCCATTTGTTAAACATTTACTTGTTTAGATTATGTAAGTATAGTTATGATTGGTTTGCCGAGCGTAGTATGACGCTAAATTAATATTGTCAGTTTTATGTATAACAGATAAGAAAATTGTATGTATAATGTTTAATGAGTATAATATTAATATTTTTTATATATGCCCAACAGCTTAATTTTTTTAAATTTATTATATTTATTTACATTTTTTTATTATATATTGTTATATTTATAAAATAATAGCTTTATCAAAGCATTAATTTTCTTGTTGTCCTTAATTAGAACTGATTGAATGATTAATTTTTAGTATTCTAAGCTAATAATTAAACACTAATTTAGATTTAGTTCATGTTCCTTCTCAAGATTAGATGATTCCATTACACGAACTTTTGCTCCTCGTTCCCTTAAGTTCGTGTTCATTTCTCTTTCTTAAGATTCAAGCACTATTATTATTGTCACAATCAAACATCTGAATCAGAAATCACAATTGTCTCCCTATAAAAAAAGAGATACGTTTTTTATACTGAAAGATACGTTTTGTATACTGAGAGATACGTCTAGATACGTCTAGATACGTTTTGAGATACGGAAAAATGCACAATTCCGTATCTTGCAAGACACGTTTTGTATACGGAGACACTGAAAAACGTATCATGTGAGATATTTAATTGTGTATTTTTCCGTATCTCAAAACGTATCTAGACGTATACAAAACGTATCTTTCAGTATAAAAAACGTATCTACTTTTTTATAGGGTCTTCTTGGATTCCTTTTTACTAGAACTTGTACATTTACATTTTGCAGTAGTTAATTGTGTTCTTTTAATGTGCATTTGCTAAAATATGAAAAAAAAAATAATTAAATAATTAAATTATATCATAAATTAAACAATTTTTATGTTTAATATTACCTTTATGTTATTTTTGTTTATATATTGAACATTACAAGGAGGTATGCTCTCAATTAGGTTAATTATTGACTTAACAGTCTCATTTTTTGTGATACTATATACTTCTGTATCTTCCATATCAGGCGAGAATATATTACTTGGCTATATTATAAAAAATGTTTATCATCTAATTTTGCGTTATAGATAATATCTCCCTTATTGGCAAAGCTTGGTATTCATGGTTAAAAAGTTTATTTGAAAGAGATTGAGAGAGAGAGTTTTAATAAAAATTTCCACTGAAAATTCGCTAATTTATCTCAAAGAAATAAATGGTTAGAAAATATTGCACCTAAATTTTAATCCTCCCGAGAAAATAATCTGTCAAATAAAAGGATATGAACGCTGATTAACAATACCAAGATCATAGAAAAATAAGACCAAAAATACATTTTGTGTTCAATGGTTCTATCCTTTAATAAATAAAATAATAAAAATCATATTTGCAAATTATTTTAATACTTAGGCAGCAAAAAAGAAATAACTCGTGATTGTATAATTTGCAAAACTCCTACTGCGTATGCCACTTTACTACAATTATACGGAAACGTGAAGGGATGTAACTAACTATTGTAACGTTGAATCTATTATTAAAAGCGGGAGCGGGATAATATTCTCCCGTTGTACACGTATTAACAATATATAGTATTTACTATTGTTAATCAATGGTGACACTTTTATAAGGAGCTGATCACATGACTAGTTGAAGCTATTTTTTAAAAATAAACAATATTAAGAGCTGCTCCCGTGATGATTTACGCAATTTTGCAATTTCGTTATTTACCAATCAAATGATAATAAATATTATACAAAAAAAAATAATTATTTATAATTTTCTTTTCAGGATACTTAGATAATTTAGATAATTACTTTATTATTTTAATAAATGAGTAAATATAAATATAAAAATTACAAAATAAAATTTTAAATTACAATCAAGTTATTATGAAGAAATTTAATAAAAATAATAGCACCAGGCCATTTTTGCAACGAATAGTATCTACATTATTAAGTATAATTTTTCGGTTAAAATTGTTTATAACCGAAGTCGTTTGTATCGTCCTTATGGAAGAATTACATTATAGAGCATGAGTTTGTAGGATTACCAGGTTTTTCTACTACTTCGGAAGCAACAATAACAATTGGTTTAGGGGTAATAATTGTTGGATTCATTTTTGATTAAATTTACTTTGAGAAAGTATTTTGAGAAATTTAATATTTTTTTATTTGATTAAATTGATCAGTTGGTTTTTTTTTTGTAAGGCGAAACCTGAAGTGTATTTATAATAAATCGAACAAACAAATTATAAGCGTTTAAATTATCTATTATCATTGCAGAAAATTTTATTATGTTATTTATTTAAGGACGATAATGTTTGAAATGTTGAAACCCAATTATTTTTCCTTATCTATGCATCGCATTGTTCCGTTTTTTGATATTCTCCATTAATGTTTCAAAGTTTTAAACTATTATTCAGGACATATAGGGAATATCCTTTTTTAGAAATCATTTAAAGATTGGAATAAACTTATATGGGAATATGGCTGATTGCAATGCATGAAATATTATTACTATATAAGTAAATCGAAAAGTAAATCGACAGCACAAATTAATATTTTTGGTTAGAATAACTTTTTATTTGTACACGTTCGTACATAAATTTGAAACTAATATTTTTTGCCTACAATCATTGTCACGATACATCTCCGATATGATAACGATAATATTTATTATAATATATTCTAAATTACGGTAAACTTTATAATGAAAAAGAATAAAATTCAAAAACAATTATCATGTATATATAATATAATATTCATATTCTGACGCTATGTAAAAAGTGAAAGTCGTAATATTTCTGGAGCAAATAATTATTAAATGATAATATTTGAATCTTCCTATTTGGATTATTATCAGTGTTTATATTACAGTATAAAGCAT